AGAGGGTGAGATGGAAATGAGCACAGAGGCAACTGTCAGAGAGAAGATGACCAGGATGGGAACAGTAATAGAGAGGGGTCAACATGAAGCTGAAATAGGGAGTGCTTAACATCTTTATCTTAAAACTGCTTTAATGACGGAACATAAAGGAGGGTAGACATACCAATGGAACTTATGCATTCCATTATGTCTGGCCTGAGGCCGCCACAAACCAGCCACCCTTGGAATTTAATGTGACAGATTTATCTTTTAAAAGACATTGGATGAAATCCTGGCCCTATTGAAGTAAATGGGAATTTTGCTTTTTACTTAAGTGGGGCCAAGATTTCACCCGCTATCTTAAATGTTCACCTTTTTCAACACTGTTTAACACCTTGGCACTAGCTATATATCCATTATGTGGCATATATATGCTAATATGTGCCAATTATGAAGCAGTCATTAAAAATCTGCTATCATTAGGCCGGATTAGTTATCTGGGAGGTTTCCAATAAAACAGTTGTCCCAATTAAGTCGAGTGTACTGCAATAATATTTCACGTTTATATAGCAACTTTCACATTAATGTACTGTACCTATTAGAAAGATCCATACTAAATTGCAACACGACTCTGTGTATGTGGGCAGCAACCAGCTGTCTCACTGCACAGAACCACTATGGGAACAGGGACTTTTTATACAGGGACATAGAGATGAACTCCTCATCTTAAAAAATGTGAAACCAGATAGAGCTTCAAAGTGAAATCCTGGCCCCACTGAAATCATTGGCAAAGCTCCCATTTACTTTAACCCTCCAATTGTTAAGTTCTTGTGTGAAAGATGGAAAGATCAGTCAGCTTAGAACACAATATATTTATCTTGAGAATGAAAAGATAAACCACCCTAGATCTGAACCTGTTTCAAAACAGGCTAAATATTTTGAATCAGTTGTTTAAACTACTGTAGTTAGGTTTCTCCAGACGTGCTCAAGGCTTTTCTCTGTGTTTCTTTTCCCACCCTCTATCTATGAAGAAATTTCTTTGGCTAAAAATCCACCCTCCCCAGTCTTTTTTAGCATGTATACTCTGGGGCCTGGTCTATGCTAGAACAAGCAAGTCAGTTTAAAATACGCAACTCCAGCTGCGTAGCTGGAGTCAGCTTAAAATCAAGCCATGGCAGTGTCTATACATGGGGGAGGCCGACGAGAGCACATGCTCCCGTTGGCTTCCATTACTCCTTGGAGAACAAGAAGTACTGGACACCAGTGGGTGCTGCCTGCAGTGTTCGATTTACAGGTCTACATTAGACCCGCTAAATCAAACACTAGAAGATCGATCTCTGGAAGGTCAATCTTCTCGCTAGTGTAGACATCCCCTACAAGTCTCCTGTCAGCTTAGCAGGAGGCAGTAAGCATTGACCTAACTGACATGAAATCTAGATGCTAGTCTTCAATATGATGCAGATTTGGTGTGTGCCTTTATACAAATCATTTAATTTCTCTGTTCCTCTGTAAAATAGGATAATAATGCCAGCCACCACTGTGAAATAAATTATAAAAAATATTATTTATGTAGTAAAATAAATGATCTGTACTTATAATTTTATCTAAAGAAATTGTTAACCAAGATGTCACTGCAAGTGTGAGGCTAAGTTATGAAGCAGATGCACAAAGAAAACAGGAAGCGAATGGAAATTAGGTTAGTAAGGAAACAGAGCAAGATGAAGGCAGAACCCTGTAGCCCCAAATATAAACATATTTAAATTGTATGTGCTGATCTGTCCTCCAGTTTTTGTTAAATCGTGCTATTTTATATTTAACTAATAACTAATACATTGGATTGCATGTTCTGGTACACTAGGGCAGTGTTTCTCAACCAGTGGTACAAGAGGTATTTAAGAGAAGTCTGGGGGGGTACGTCAACACAACTGAAATTTGGAGAAAACTGAATTTTTGTTTTAAGTTTTACTGAGATTATTTTTGTACTGTTTACACCCAAAAATGTCATCACCTGCCTGGCTATGATTAAGTTGTTTAAACAAATGTGTTGTACTAGTAGAAAAAAAAATTGTGTGTCTGAAAACTATAGGTACAGGGGGTACTTATATTTTTTTTCTTTTTTGAAAAAGGGGATACTTACAATTTTTTTTAAAAAATGGGTACTTTATAAAAAAAGGTTGAGAAACACTGCACTGGAGTACATCATACAAATCACAGCTATAACCCTTTTGTACATGAAAACTGAGCATTTGCCTATTTGCACAAGTTATCACCCCTTTTGCATGCACAAGTTTTGGATTTTGTATGCACGACTAGGGATACAAAACCACTTTTAGAGGCATGCCCATTGTTCTTACAATAGGAAATATACTCCAGTAAGACTTAATATGAATTCTAAAATCACAGATCAAACACTGTGATTATGATTCCTTTGCAATACCTGATCATTTTACAGTATACATTTTAACAAAATTAAAGATACTGATCCCCAAGCACAGCTCCTGTGGAGGGTATGAGTTCTGCCATGGCATGAGCCACACCTCTTACATTGATGTCAAATGGTAACTTTGGGGGAGTAACTGAAATTACACTAAAGAGTGTGAAGGGAATTACAGCTAGGCCTGCTTGGCTGGAGGTGCTCTTCTATGACTCATACCTTTCAAGGTGGTGGGAGAGAGATATAAACATAATTATTAAAGAAGTGGAAATGTTGACCTCCAAATGGAAAAAGAATAATTTAATTTTAGGAAATGAAGCCCATCTATTATTTTACTTGTAGCATAGTCACAAGTACATTTCCATTCTCTTTTAAAATAACCCATTAATTCATTCTCTCATTATGGTAGACATGGCTGAGCAACCGCCTCCTGCTCTTAGCATTTCATGTTTTGTAATTATGCATCTTCACATACAAAATGGCACGCATCTGTCAGTAATACACTATGAAGGACAAGGCTGTCACATGACCTGGAAGTGATAATACTGTATTCTAAATCACATTACCAAATAAATGAACCTTTCCTTCTTCTGAACACACCACTTTCTGCAGTGATCAAAGAGCAATCTGCTGTCCACATACCAGCCACGAAACTCAATGATGTAGCTTGCAGCTACATAAATCTTCAATGTAGATGTGTAAACCTGTGATGCTGCATGTCACATTATTCACTATTAACATTTTGGAGGCCAAGCTGAAGTGTGATATGTTGAGACTGATTGCCTCACCCAGCCATACATCTGCACAAAAGATGGTTGCAAACTGATCCTTTCCACAGAAACTAGGCATAATACTCCTGGCAAATTGCCAGTGGCCTCCTTTACAGAACACCCCTACTGTGCTGTATAAACAACAAAACACATTTTAAACAACACCAATAAAGGCCCATCGTTTCTCCAAACAAGTCCTTTGTGAGCAATGACACCAATTAGTAATATCTATAATACCTCTGAACTACAATTGTTCATTCATGCAGTTGCATATTCTAAGAATTTATATGAGTCTTCCAAAAACATTTTTGCCATAAGATCAGCCAAAAATGTAAGTATATAAACCACATGGAAAACCAGAAAGATTTATAATGTGATTATATTGCATATAATACACTTGCACCTCCATACACTGGTGTCCATAATCCAGGAATTTAGGAGGACCCTGGCAGGGGGAGGAGAAAGTGGCTCTGTGCTGTGCAGCTTCCCTCCCACGCAGCTGGGAGACTGTCCATACAGCAAAGTGCTTCTCCGGAGGCTTTACCCACACTGCTCCCATAGCAGCGGGTGGGAGTGGCAGGGTGCATGGAGCCACATGTGCCTCTGGAAGTGAGGCACTAAGTAAACTCCCCACCTGCATCCTCCTCATGCCCAGCTCTCACATACCTATCCCCCTCATGCAGCCTTCCTCGTTTCCAGAATCCACACCTCACCCCCAGCATACTCCTGCAGCCTACCTCCCTTTCAGACTCTGTGGGTGTGTCTAGACTGGCAAGTTTTTCCGCAAAATCATTCGATTTTGCGGAAAAGCTTGCCAGCTGTCTACACTGGCCACTTGAATTTCCGCAAAAGCACTGACGATCTCATGTAAGATCGTCAGTGATTTTCTAGAAATACTATGCTGCTCCCGTTTGGGCAAAAGTCTTTTTCCGAAAGACTTTTGCGCAAAAGGGCCAGTGTAAACAGCACAGTAGTGTTTTCCACAAAATAGCCCCGATCACGAAAATGGCGATCGGGGCTTTTTTGCGGAAAACCGCGTCTAGATTGGCCACGGACGCTTTTCCGCAAAAAGTGCTTTTGCGGAAAAGCATCCTGCCAATCTAGACGTGCTTTTCCAAAAATGCTTTTAATGGAAAACTTGTCTGTTAAAAGCATGTTCGGAAAATCATGCCAGTGTAGACGTAGACGTATGTATTGCTCTCTGTATTATGTATAAAATAAAAACTCAGTGCTTTGCAAACTGCTTTTATTTGTACCTTCAAAACAAAAAGTATACATGAATACCCATGGTCTGGAAAGTTCCATAATCTGTCATAGTCTGTTTTCCAAGTTTGCTGGATCAATAGATTCAAATGTATTTGGATTTTACTCCGTTTTATAATTATCCAAACGCAGCTAATATAGCTGAGTCTGAAAGCAATAGATCCTGATCCATCACAGTGGGCACCACTCAATGCAATGAGTGGGATAATAAGTAACTTTTAATCAATTAATTAATAGCTTCCAATAGTCATTAATTTTTATCTTAATACAGATTATAGATATAATTCACTCCAATATTAACTGGCTGGTTAAAAGACTTTATCATTCAGTTTTAATATGAATAAATGATGATCGTAAATTATGTCTATATGAAGCTTTAAATAGCTTCCATTTAAGAAATGACTGCAACATAATTTAAGGCAACAAACACTTATAGGAATCTTCCTTAATTATGGGTAATTTATTACTTTGCTGTATTTGCCCCCCTCCAGCCCAAAAAACCCTCTCTATTGTGTTGTGAATTTACTAATGAATAAAAATAAACTGAAACTAACCATAGCCTGCAGGAAATTGCCTCCATTTCAAATAAGACATTAACTGAAATACATATAGCATAGGCCAGGCACGATAGTATGGACAGCCATGAATTAATTCTTCCTTGGCAACGTGTTCACGCTTAGCTATTTCCTAAAAGACAGATATATGTTCAACAGCAATGAAAAATATGTGAATAGAAAAAAAATCTTAAATGACAAAGTCTAAGAAAAACAATCATTTGCATATTAAAATTTTTGAGAAGCAAAAAATTTATCCATAGGTAGGTTTTGTGATATTAGAGCCAAAATACTAATATTTAGTCATTATAACTTGAGAAAAAGTGATTAGATTTTCTTTTTCCTAATTATGAACTTTAGAAAATGATGGAACATACTTGTGATTTTTTATATTTGGGGATGGAAACCTTATTTTAAAATCCTATCTCTATTGCATAAATCAAACTCAGAATTAATCTTGTCAGTCTTAACACAGAGGCACTGATTCTTTGAAGTATAAAGTTGCTGCGTAGCAAATCAAAAACAGCTGATTTGAGAAGCAACAAAACAGTGCCTTACAAACGTGTTTCCACTTTGAGTTTCACTAGACTGTCCCCATTCACAATATGCTCATGTACTCGTTATACAATATTAAGCTACACTTCATTATTATGGCTTAATACCCAGATCTTGTAAGCATGACTTTTTGTTATTTACAACACTCTACAGTCACACCCATCATGTACCAGGCTTCATCTAGCATTCCAAAGGTTATACAAACTAAAGGAAGGGTCAGCCAAAGCACAGAACACAGATAATACTGGCTTAAATAGTTATATGAAAATTTCATCAGCTTGGAAGAATGCTTCAGTGGTGTATAATTTGTTTGGCTATGATGAGACCATGCCAATCAGAGCCCCTGATACAGGTGATATGTTGGGACATGTCCTGGGGAACATAGTGGGTCAGACCAAAGATTCATCTAGCCCAGTATCTCATTTTCCAACAGTGGACAATGCCAGGTAGGAGGGACATGGCTATAGTGATGCTGTGTTTCAGTGATCCCTGGCTACCACTATGGCCTTACGATGTCATTGCAGCCAGTCACAATTTACCACATTCCTATGACTGCTCTAACTTATGCCCTTGGCCAGACTAATCACCAGGGATATGTCCACACTATGGGATAAGGTCAAATTAAGATACGACATTTTAGCTACATTAATTGTCCACGTGACAGGAAGTTAAAGGGAGAACACTCTCCCTTTGACGTTCCTTATTCTTCATGGAAGTAGGACTGCTGGCATCTGCTGGAGTGCCCCTCTCAGTTCGAATTAGCGTGTCTTAACTAGACCCGCTAATTCAAACCCTAGAAAATCAACAGCAGCAACTTTTATCTTTTTTGTAGTGCAGACATACCCCAGCTGGCTCCAGAATCTGACAGCATCAGTAAGAGAACAGAAAGAAGTGGGAGTGTAAGAGTGGCATAAAGTTGCATTTGTCTCCACCCTTATCTTATTCACTAAGCATGACTTATAGGGACTTGAGTATTAGGGCCAATACATTTGCAATTTAATTTTTTTATTTCTACAACTTTTTTGTAAACTACAAGAAAAACCATTTTATTTCAGTTCAGACCATCCAGCAGGAAAGGGGAAGTCATAGGAGACACCAAAATGCATAGGCCCATTGAGGGAAATTTGGGCCCCAATTTGTGTTTGCTGGAGCCCCGCCCCATTATGTCTGCTGGGGCCTCACCCCTAGCATTTCATTTTATTTACAAATACATTAGAGATGTTTTGGAGGCCCATATGAGCTCCGGAGCCAGGTACAATTGTCCCATCTTTCTTCCCTCCCCTGGTCAATACACACAACTTTTATCTCAGATGAGACTCATGGAACTAATCAAGAAGATTTACATCCAATGCCTCTCATCAGTGAAAGTGCTTTCAAACGTTCTGGCATTGCTGGTATCATGCATGGATCTACTATCCTGAGCTAGACTTGAAATGCAGCTCCTCCAACAGTTTATAAGGATCCTGCTTTCAAGCATATATACAAATATAGATACATGTACACAGATGTACAGCATTTATGACCTACTCAACTATAGTCTTTTAAAATGTCAATGAGTCTCCATCGTGAAGGCAAGCCAATGACCATTTCGAAAGAGGTCTTCTGATTAGAGCAAAAGACAAAAACCACAGATGCTAACTTATTTGTTGGAAAAACTGACCCATCACATTAAACTGTAAGGAGTAATGATCAAAGGAGTAGATGACTCAAAGTATACATTTGCTGAAGCATTTTGATGATGAGCCATAGTACCATGCCAACAGTCAATCAGTCCAATAGTTAGCAACCCATCAGGTTGAAAGTTAATGGGGGAGGTGAGGATCCTAGCTCCTTCAACTGGGAGAAAGAAATAGGGGAGAGATCAGGTATTGTTCCTATGGAAATGGTAGTGAGATACTACTTGGAGAAGTTGGTTCTGGATTTTCTGCCTCGTCTCTGTGCTTATCACTTGAACAGTTCTTGCTGCACACCCTAGTTGTGGATAAACCTGGGAGGGACTATAAGGAGCTTTTTGTGAAGACTTTTCCATTAACCTATTTGATGTATGTGGATGTATGTGGTAAACTCTGAACAGTTATAAAAGAGAATTTTCCAAATGAACTACACATGAACTGTGATAATTGCTGGCTCTTAACTCATCCGGAATCCACGGCAAGCAAACTTGATTTTCAATATGCTTTTGGATTATTACTTGATGTGTTGTAGAACAGCTCAGTTTTCATAAACAAGCAAACAGTATCCTGCTAATAAGAGGTAATTCTTCCTGGTCAAAGTCTGTCACTAGTGGCTTTAGCCATTATTTTGTATCCTCTTTCCCATATTTTTTAGCAGATTTTTATAGCAGATTTGACAAGTAGATACTTCATTTTCAATTATATTGCTCATGCTTGGCCAGAACGTGAGGCTTCTCAGATGAGCACAATGAATTATGCTTACAATTTTTTATCTATGTGGCTCCTATTAAGTTATTATCTGTTGCAAGCCTTTTTCTTGTGTTGGAGGCCCTTGTTGACATTTCCAGGAAAATGAATGATCTTTAGTTTCTTTACAGAAGCGCTAGCCATGCTTCCTCCCTGAGACTGACAGATCTGGTCTTTCCATCTGGGGCTGCTGAGCAGAGGAAAAAACCCTCATTGCTGAAGACAAGTATTATAAGTAGAAGCCTCATGACATGCCATATGAGATAATACAGCTGCACCCTCAATCTTCAAGGTGCATAACTGAACCCTCTCTGTGCAAAAACTCAAAAACCTGAAAATATATTTATGTTAGAAGAGCATTTCCAAGTTAACCAAATGGATAAATTAAATAGATCTAATTTAATCATACAACACTGTAGACAAAAGATTAAATCAATTGCCTTAGAAGGTTTCTAAGACTCTAATAGTATCACAGTTTTACCTTTTTTATTCTCAAATAATCTGTGGAAGAAATTTTAAGAATTTCACAGTTTTCTTCTGTAACGATAGATAACAGGAGGTGTGAGAGTTTCAGTGGGGCTTTTTCCAGAGTCCCAAAACAACTTCCTCTGATGAGCTTTAAAAAAAGGGCAAAAGCATCAGATTAATTTTCTCTCTGTATCAGTAAAATGGGGTTAATAATGAAGTTTAAAGGTTAATTCATATGCAACCACTTAATTTTGAATACTTTTCATACCTCTGTTTTTGATGTGTCTGAGTCTTGTTTTATATTATTTTCTGAGAGCAGAGCCAAGATATAGTCATTGGCATCAACTTATACATGATGCATTAAACATGCAATCATGTTGCAGTTAATGAAGGCAATAATACAGCAGAATAGTATGGTAATGAAGTTCAATTTGATTCAGTATTTTTTATAAACACCCGTTGTGAAAAAGAATAATTATTCCTAAGGATCATCTCTCCTTCCTTATGAATATGTCTTGTAGTCAAAGAAGGCAGCACAGGGAAGAATGTGGGAGCCTGCTCATGCAAGTTGGACTACAGTTAATGGGCCAGATCTGCAGTTGATGTAAATCGGCATAACTATGTTTTGCTTATAACCTTGTAGAAGATCAGCATCAATAGGTAGAAGAGCCTTCATCTATTTTTATAGATAGGACTGATAATGTATTTTCCCTGTCAGGACAGTCTGTCATAGATACAGGTAATCCCTTTTAAATCCTACTAAGCTTCACTTTTGCAAACAATATAATATAGCAAAGATAACTTTTCTTTACATGTTTGTACAATAATCTTAAAAGTGACGTGCTTTGAAGTTTTAATTAAATGGGGAACTGGGTCATCAAACGCCCATAATTATAGCAAACTGAAAATATAAGTAGTGTGTTACTGCAATGCTCTGAAGCAGATGAAATGATCTTAGAAATATAGATTAATATTATCCATAATTTCTATTGTATTTGCTGTCTTCACATTCAAACAATAATGCTTCAGTAACAAATGGTTTTGGTATGCAACATCCTCCTCACCAGGCCTCCACTTTCAGTGCTATGTTCATACTAACCTGAGACACCTTAAAAGTCTTTTAATCATAAATATGTTGAGACCTGCAGACTCAGAAGCTTATAAACATTAGGGTCCATGTCCACCAGAGCTGGGAGAACACAGAAAAGCAAATTCCACAGAGCATTAACTTGAATGTAAATATTAGCCCACTTTGACAAACTTGCATTCCTTTTGTTTTTGATTCCCACAAATGTCACAGCTTTCAGTGAGTGAAAAGCACAGTTCAAACTGGCATGTCTCAATACCCAGAACAGGTACATTTTATATGGAATGAGCTGTTGCTTGTTCAGGTAGTGGAGGGCCATGATTAACAAATTCCTCTTCAGAACCCTAGGCATAAAGAAATAAAGGCTCATATTCAAGTCAAACTTGCTCCTAATTCAAGTCAATAGCAAAACTTTCATTGACCTAAATGATTCAGAATCAGGCTGTAAATTAACTAGACAATAATGTGATTGGTCTGCTTTTAGCCAGGACTGTGAATGCATACATACTATCTTTGTACAGGTGCTATGAAAGAAAACTGAATTTGAATTCTACTTTTATTCAATAAATGTTAACTGAAAAATCAGGATTTTTATTCTAAGACTCATGAATTAGTGAACCAAAAAGGAAAAGGTTTCAATAATTTTAAAAATTCTGTTTCTGTTTACTTCTCCCTAAATTTCTAAATTTCTACAACTCTTACTACAATTGACAGGTACCTTTTTTCCCGTTACAAATAACTTGCTTTCTGTTATTTGCACTCCAGCTCATCAAGGGATGAAGTGGGTTTTACCCCTGAAAGCTTATGAAACTATATATTTTTGTTAGTCTCTAAAGAACCACTCACTTTTAAATTTCTACTTGAAGGCTATATCTACACTTGTGGCTTCTTGTGCAAGTACTGCCTTTCTTGTGCAAGAATCCACAGAGCGTCCACACTGCCAGCCCTCTCTTGCGCAAGGAAATTTACAGCATGGCGTGGTAAGAGAGGGCTTTTTACACAAGCGCTATGCTCTTTTTTTAACAGGTGTAAGCCCTCTTGCACAGAAGCTCTTGCACAAGAGGGCAGTGTGGCAGCTCGGCAGGGCTTTCTTGCACAAGAAACCCCTATGGCTCAAATGGCCATCAGAGCTTTCTTGCGCAAGAGAGCGTCCACACTGCCATGGATGCTCTTGCGCAAAAGCACAGCTCGCACATAGCAGTGTGGATGTTTTCTTGAGCAAGACTTCTTTCACAAGAACGCTTGCACAAGATGTTCTTGCACATGAAGCCATAGCCGAAGAGATTCAAATCCCCAGTGGTTTCGTCAACCTCCCTTTTCAATTACAGCTTATCAAGTAAAAAAGAACGATACTATGTGACTTATCTGACCAATAAAAACTATCCTATATTATATAAGTTTAAATATTGACTGTGATGGGTTTATTGGGTGCGAGCACCCCCTCTCAGGTGAGTAGGGGGGGTTCAGCGGACCCACCATCTAGATCCTGAGTTTTGGGTCCCGATGTCTGACCTCCCCGATGGGGTGGGTGGGTGCAATCACCCGTCGCCGGCCCGGCAACAGGGATCAGCAAATCCACCTTTACGTCCCTGGTAAGGATCTTAGGGTCCTGTCCCTGATAAGGGTTTGGGGTTCCACCCCACCACAGGTCTTGGGGTCCTATCCCCGGATGCCCATCCTGTAGGGGCAACAGCCACTAGCCCTTTTGGAAGCCACTCACGTCCAGGAACCCCGGAGGGCGCGGCGAGTCGGCTCGGTTGCAATTAGGGGGAAAGGGAGTGGGGGACCTGGTCCCTCCCTCTCCTCCGGGTCCCAGCCCGGGGCGCTAAGTGGAGGGATTAGTGCATTCCCTCCACGACAGGTGGGGTTGATCCCCAAAACTCGCCTGTCCATGGCCACCAGAGGCAGACTACCCCGGGCTCCTTCCACTCCCCATCCAGCGCTGGCCCCCCTGTGGACCCGACCGGGGCACTCACCAAGTCTGGCTCCTCGGCCCTGTCCTGCTGGTGTCCTAAGGGCCCCCGCGCTGCTCCTCCATCCATCCAGCGGGGTGGGGTGTCCTTCCTCCTGAGTGGGAGTCGGGGGCTCCTTCTTCAGCCCCCCCCAGTCTGCTCGCCTGGCCGCTTTTCAAGCGGCCCGGGGGCAGACGCCCCGGGTGGTCTGGCATTTGCTGGCTCCGCTGCTCCCCCAGCCTCACGCCGGGGAGCGTTGGCATAATGTGGCCCTGCCCCCTATGCGGCCGGGCTGAGTCAGCCTCCCGCTCCTTCCCGACCCTACTGAGCCGGAAAGTGGGGCTGCCGCAGCCGGACGCGGCACTGGCCTGCCTTTTCCACCTCAGGGGGAGGTGATCCTCCCCCTTCGGGAGTGCGAACCCTCGTGGGTCCGTCACACTGACTATCAAATACTTATAAGAAATGTTATGTAAATATAGCCCAAGGTCCAGTGTGTTTCAGCAGCAGCCCTGGGAACTACAAGCTGTGGACTACAAACTGCAGCATGTTGGGAGAAATTCCTGGTTCCTGCCAGGATGTGCCCTCTGCCACCAGCAGGGTCTCAGCAAGGACTGTGCTAGAAGCAGCACACAGGCTGTATGCTGAGAGAAGGGGCTGATGAACTGTTTTCCTCTTCTATGTTTTTTACAGAATAAGGCCTGTTCCTGGTGATTTGTCGGAGTGGGTCTGGTCTGAGGTGCACTCACACATACACAACGCAGAGCACACCAAGCAGCCTGAGGCTTAGCCCTCCCCCCACAGTGGTGTAAGAAGTCACAAGCTTCCCCTATGCTGAATAACCTCACACTGGGCTAGCCAACAGGAGGGGTTACATAAACAATACCAAATCTAAAATACTCTCCAAAATAATCAAAAAGCTGTGAATCATAGTCTGCTAATGAGCAAAGAAGAAAAATAAATGGAGTGAATTCTTATTTTCTCAATTCTACTCCTCTCTCAGTGGTGCAGATGCAGTATTTTTGCATCTGCCCTTCTTTCTACCAAACATCTTTCATATCATTCATAAAATCTCTTCCTACTGTTAGAATTATGTTTCAGTAATAAAAGCACTCAAATTCTGGCACTATCAAGAAAATGCAGACTTAATACGCTAAGTAGCCTATCAAAAAAATGAAACAAAAGCACAATGGATTATTGTAATCATGGGTATACGGGTAGCAGATATTTTCCTGTACCACTGCTTAACTATTTTACTTATGGCAAACTACACTGTACTTTGCAACTTTTGCCTGACTTCCAAAAGTCAACACTTCAAAGTAGAGAACTGTATATCCAACTTTTTTCCACTTCAGCACATCAACAAGGAAGGTTCTGGAATCTCCTGACAATGTTAACATTATCCATAAAAAAAATCTAATTTTCCTTGATGTTTTGTTACAATTCAGAGATCTTGAAGATTCAGAGACATTTTAAATGTGAGCAACGCCTCATGTCTCTGACTAAAGAAGGAAAACCTCATCACGCACAACCTATATATAGGCTTCTCCAGGGACAGAGGACTTATCCCAGTCCTCTTTTGGCACAGCAGCTTGGGCCAGGTGAGAATTGCCTCTCTATGGCTGCTACAGCTCCAGATGCACAGGTGTGGGAGGGGTGCATGTCCCAGCCAGACTGAGGAATAGAGTAAACTGTGCACTTTCCCCTCCCTCCCTGATGAAGGGGAACAGCCAGGAACATTACTGTTGGATAGGAGAGAGCTGCACCTCCCACTCAACATCCCTAAATTGTGCCATGGTGTGGAAGGCTCAGAGCCCAGGCAGTCTTTTTGGTATGGTTTTATGTGTTCCTGTATGCATGGGGGGAACTTCAGCCTCCTCACAAACACACAAAACCAACCCCTTATCTTCCTTTAATTTATAAGAGGAAGCTGCATACCAAATTTGGTTGTCCAACCTCTTATCGTGTAGGAGTTCTTTTTATGTATCCCTGTATGAGTCAGGTGGGGGAGATTCAGCTCCCCTCCCCCCCCACACACACACATAAACAACCAAACCTTCACCTTGCTTTAAATTGTAATAAGTGGAAGCTGCATACCAAATTTGGTGGTCC